CTTGTTGAAGATGGTAGAGGCTTCTCACCATCTCTTCTGACCATTCAGCTCCAAATCTGACAACCCAGACATTTTAGCAAAAGCAAGGCCTCCTTCTCATAAATGTTAAACTGCTTATAGGAACTCACTAGAGGTACTTAAGTAGACCTATAGGTGGTTTAAATACATGGAGCTTTCCAAGTTGTGATGTGCCTGTGCCAGTGTTCCAGAAGAAATTCACATCCTTGTAAGTTTATGTATGATTTTCATCCCATTTCTTTGTAGTTTTACAGTGAGAGTAGAAATGCTGATTGCACAGGTGCCAGACACCCAGCTTATATTAGAATAGACGCATGCATAAGCTCAGAGCTGCATCAGGGATGCAATGATTCTCTTTATGTGGTCAAAGCCCCCTTAGTCAACACCTTCTAGAGAGTAGTATCCCATTGCCAGAAGAAAATGCAAAAAGGATGTGATAGATATGGTGATACACTCCAGGTGCACCAGCTAGAAATCAGATAACCACCAGAAGTTTTGCAGTCTCAAGAACTACAGGTTTTATTTCATTTTTTCAGGCAGATTGAAGCAAAACAGTGATGAAAATAACATCCCACACACCAAGAGGAAAAACTAACAGTAGAACTAATGCTTACAAAGAAAAATCACACTGATCAGTGTGTAGAAACTTCAAAGCATGTTACAGGCATTTGGTGATTAAAGGCAAGTAAAGAAAAGGAGAGATCTGTAGTTTCCAAATAGAGGATGAAGAACATTTAGGGTCATATCCATATCGAAGGCAGAGTGAGCCAGGTGGGAAGCAGCAGGCAGTGCTGCAGCAGAGGAGGTGAGCACAGCCCTGCCTGTCTCATGCCCAGGGATTTAGTTGCCACAGCAGCCACCACCGCTGCCACCGCAGCAGCCTCCGTTGTTCATGGTGTAGCAGCAGGTCTGCATGGGCATGCAGCAGGTCATGGGGCAGCAGCACTGCGAGGGGTAGCAGCAGGGTGTCTTGCAGCACTTCCGACTGCTGTAGCAGCAGACAGAGTAGTTATTTCCACCGCAGCATCCACAACCTCCGTAGGGCATCTTGTTGGTAGTGTAGGCAAAGCTGGAAAGCAACAGAAAGAGTTTATTTTTCTCTGCCTGAATTTGACCACTGTCTATGCATATTAAACCTTGCTTATCCCCAGGTTTATCCCATACTGGATGGATGGTATAGTCCCTTCTGTCCAGAATCCCAAGGTAGCCTGTCTCTGAGTTATCCATATTCTGGCATTAGCCAGCAGTGTAATTGGCATAGTGGCCAGCACTGGTTCCATCAGAAAGAAGCCACCCAGATAGATCTCCAAACCAATCCCTCCAAATTGGCCCCAAACAAGACAGTGTAGGAAATCATGGATGACTTCCTACAAAGTACACAGAAATACAGTAGAGTGCAAAAGAGAAGGCAAGCAGTAAACTCCAACTTACCCTGTTGACCAGTGAGGACAAGTGAGAGGAACACAAGGAGTGAATGAAGAGCTCTGTGATGGGCAGCCTTTTATATGGTTCAAAACCACCACCCCCCTGGAAATGAGGCATTTTTCAGCAATTCTGACTTCACTGTTTACCACCCAGTATATGCCTCTCACGTGTCTTCCGGTACTTAATCTTTACCTCTTTCTGTTTGCTCACCACCTCAATTCCGCACCATAATTAGTTGTACATATGAACAACAGGTGCAAATTTTCTAATGAATTTACATTAATGGGAATCGGAGGTAGCTATAAGGTATTCCCATCCACTTCCTAAGGAGTGAGTGACCTTGAGACACAGAAGCACCTAACAATTTGCCCAGGGGGGGCGGGTGCTGAAGCAGTGGGAGAACTGTGTCTGGAACTAGGAAATGTCATCAGTCACACGTCCCCTCTGAGCTTGGCTGTGATTCTGGGGGACCAGTGGAAACTATTGGCAAATGTGATTCATTCTTTCCTGCCTCTGAGAGGTGGCTGTGCGTCCAAAGTTGACTGAAAAATTTATCTTTTTTTCAGACTTGTGCTTAGGTCTCTCACCATGGTGCTTTGTCCTCACACCTCCACTTTTTATTTCTTGCGTAGTATTAAAGATTTTTTTTTTTTAATTTTCACTCATAAAGGGCTCTTTTAAGTCTATATTAAGCAGCTTTCAAAGCCACAGTGCACACATTTTAGCTTTCCTCTGTTGTTTCTGTATGCTTCATTTTCTGAGATTATTTTTAAGGTCTGTGAGACTGAGATAACTTGTCTTTCATGATATTCATGCTGATTAAATTTGAGGGTGTCATACAAATGATTTGATTCTACACCCTGGTTTGCAAATATGATATTCAACTCTCCTGTACCCCTGATGCTCACCTGGCATCACACAGGTGCTCTGGGTTCAGGCACCTGTCAGCACTTTTTCAGCGATTGCCTCTAGCTGTTATGGATGCAATGACCTAAGGCCAAGGCTGCTGTGCATGCAGAGTTCTGCCAAATAGGAGGGGACAGATAAGATGGGCAGAATGTGGCCACAGCAAGTTTGCAGACAACAAAATTGGGGGAATTGGTGGATAAACCAGAGGATCGTGCTGCCATCCAGAGGGACTTGGAAAGTCTTCAGAAATGGGCTGGCAGAAACCTCATGAAGTTCAATAAGGAGACGTGCAATGTCCTGGCCCTGCGGAGGATCAGCTCCAGCACCAGGACATGCTGGGGGCGCCTAGCTGGGAAGCGGCCTGGCAGAAAGGCCCTGGAGTGAATGCAAGCCAGCAGCGTGCCCTTGGGCAAAGAATGCTGATGGTGTCCTGGGCTGTGTTAGGCCCTGCATTGCAGCAGGTCGAGGGAGGGGATCCTGCCCCTCTGCTCAGCACTGGCAAGGCTGCATCAGGAGTGCTGGGACCCCAGTCCAGGAGAGGCCTGGGGAGAGTCCCATGGAAAGGCCTGGGCCTACTGGGGAGAGTACCATGAAGGCCACCATGCTGTTGGAGGGCCCGGAGCCCCTCTGCTGGGAGGAGAGGCTGAGAGCTGGGGCTGATCAGCCTGGAGGAGAGGACACTCAGGGGGATCCCATCCATGTCCATGCAAGGGCCAGGATCCTGCCAGTGCTGCCCAAGGCCCAGACAAAAGGCCCTGGGCACAACCTGGAGCACAGGTTTTGTTTGGGCACCAAGAAACAATTCTGTACTGACTGGGGACTGAACATGGGTTGCCCAGAGAGGTTGTGGAGTCTCCTCCTTGGAGATCTTCAAAAGCTTCTGCACATAGTCCTGAGCAGCCTGCTCTGGGTGTCCCTGCTTGAGCAGGGGTTGGACCGGATGGACCCAGAGGTCTCTTCTCACATAGAAAATTCCCTGATTTTGTGATTGTGTTGGAATCAATGGAGATGTTATGAAACAGGCTTGAGGATGAGGAAAAGAGCTGTGGTCATGTGCAGAGTCAGGACATCTCCATTTGAGAAGAAGCTGCAGATAGTTTTCATATGAGAAGAGGGAATAAAAATGTAAGATTGGAGTCCCAAGATGCTGAGACAGCACCTCAATTAAAGGCTGCCGTCATGTTCAGCAGACTCTGAATGTGTGGCTGGAGTGACAGCAGGAGATCCATGCTGGTTGGGACACGTAGTTTCTTCCCAAGCTGCGAACATGATTTTCTATGACGTTGGGTGTCCCTGCTGGAATTGTCCCCAGGGGACCATTGGTCACACAATAACAGGCAGATACCTGCCTGCAGGAGGTAATACCCGATTGTGGAAACCCTCAAACATGCCACCCGCTGAATAAATCAGTCATTGCCCTTTTTATCATCCATTATTGCTGTCATGTTGGCCAAGACGATCCCTGTATAGAAATGGATGTGAACCCTGCAGGACTGTTGCTAAACAGGGTTTTATAAAGTATTGAGAAGATAATGGGATTTAATGCTTATTTGGTCAGAAATATCTTCCACACTAAATCCCTGTTACATGCCATGCTATGGCTTTGTAAACTTCCACAGTGGTTACGTGAGTTTGGGAGTGGCAGCACCTTTGTGAACTGGGAGGAATCTGTGATGGCAGCTTTTCCAGCATGTGCTAAAATTAATATTCACAATATGCACTTCTGATATAGTATTCTATAATATGGTATAGGATATCCTTCTGCCAGTGTATTGGAAATGTTTTATCTATTAATCAAAAACTCCTGAAGACTTGAATAATCTTTTCAGGAGAGTCTAAGGTGGTAGAGATTATTCTAATGCAAACTTGTGTATATCTTCATAGTGTATACTATGAAGGTTTGGTTGAGAGAAGCAATCAAGACAGTGCTCAAGGCATTTTTCTGAGACATGCAATTCAGAGCTGTGTCCTGAATTTTAATAGTAAAGGAAGTCCCAGCCAGGTAGAGAAGGTATTGTTGACTCATGTGTGTGCTATTTGAGGAATGGAGCTTTTAAGTTCTGTGCTAGCATTTGGGTTTCATTCCAGTGCTTGTAATCCAGGAATGCCACATAGGTAAATCTTTGCTGATATAAAATATTCCACCAATTAAAGGTGCTCTCTAAATTTTGTTTTCAAAGGTGTTAGTGGAAGAAGATGCTGTCTTCTGTTCAGTGAGTAATGAATTCCTCTCAGTACCTATTAAAATGTCCATTAAAATATCAGGAATGGGTTGCTATACATAGCTGGGGTGGTGTGTTTTCAGTGTTGGAATTATGCATACTTTATTCAGTCCTCTGAGTTTTATTTACCTTAACCACTTAGTTTTACAGTTAAAATTGAGCTGAGTATCTGAGGCAGAGCTGCAGTAAGTGCAAGAAGGTATCACACTGCTCTGCTCTCTTTAGACATGGCACAATTCATGCCAACAGGAAGCAAAGCTGAGTGGTTCTTTGTTTTTTAAATGTTCTTCCCTTCTATGGGAGCACATTTGTAACCCTTGGGAGTCTGATGATGATGTAGAAAATGGCACCAGAACAAGGACCCATTCTAGGCAAAGTGATGTAAGAACAACCAAACAAGGTATTTTGCGTTTTGCTTAATGCCAAGTTTTATTGTCTACAAGTCAAGAAAGAAAATGAAGAATGATGACATTAACAGCAAAAGTATCCCATGTCCCATACACCAAGAAGAGAACTAACAGCCACAATAATATGTAAGATCTCTTTGCCTTACACCGTGGGTGACATATTCAAGTGCATTGTAGATCTTCGATAATTAAAGGAAAGAAGAAAGAAGAAAACCAGAAGAAAATTGCTAGGCAGTTACTCCGTCATCATGTGAAACAAGTGAATGATGGTCAGGTTTTCATCCCCTTGTGCCTGTTCTTGTTGCACGCCAGAGATGGGAGCCAGCAGACTGCTTTTCCTACCCGGAGTTGGCTCAGCAGCACTTCTTGATTGTGGTGCAGCACTGCTGGATGGGAATGCAATACTTTCTCATGGGGGAGCAGTAGTTCACGGGGCTGCAGCACACCACAACAGGCTTCTTCTTCACCACGTAGGAGCAGCAAGACAGACATCCAGAGCAGCAGCAGGGGCGGCAGCCACAGCAGCAAGTCCGCACGCATTGCTGGCCACAGCAGCAGCAGCAGGTCTTCTGGCAAGGGTCACAGCAGGACTGCTGGCAAGGGTCACAGCAGGGCTTCTGGCAAGGGTCACAGCAGGGCTTCTGGCATGGGTCACAGCAAGACTGCTGGCAAGGATCGCAGCAAGACTGCTGGCATGGGTCACAGCAGGGCTTCTGGCATGGGTCACAGCAGGACTGCTGGCATGGGTCACAGCAAGACTGCTGGCATGGGTCACAGCAGGGCTTCTGGCACGGGTCACAGCAGGACTGCTGGCAAGGATCACAGCAGGGCTTCTGGCATGGGTCACAGCAGGACTGCTGGCATGGGTCACAGCAGACAGCCTTCTGGCATGGGTCACAGCAAGACTGCTGGCATGGGTCACAGCAGGGCTTCTGGCATGGGTCACAGCAGATAGACTGCTGGCATGGGTCACAGCAGGGCTTCTGGCAAGGGTCACAGCAGATGGACTGCTGGCATGGGTCACAGCAGGGCTTCTGGCAAGGGTCACAGCAGATGGATTGCTGGCATGGGTCACAGCAGGGCTTCTGGCATGGGTCACAGCAAGACTGCTGGCATGGGTCACAGCAGGACTGCTGGCATGGGTCACAGCAAGACTGCTGGCATGGGCTGCAGCAGACAGTCTTCTGGCATGGGTCACAGCAGATGGTCTTCTGGCATGGGTCACAGCAAACGGTCTTCTGGCAGGGGCTGCAGCACACCGTTTTGCTCTTCACAACAGAGCAGCATCCAGTAGAGCAACATCCACTGTGGCACATGTTGTTTGTAGAGTAGTCCAAGCTGGAGGGAGCGAGGATCTGAAATACAGTTTACATACAGATACAATCCATCTTTACAAGTTCATAGATGTGTTTTATTTTGGCATACAAATGCTGCTGTCTAGCCCCATGGGTGATAGCCATACCACACTTCACTTCCTATTTATTTGTATTGAGTTGCCCAAAAAAACCCTTATAGAAATTGAGCTACTTGCCACTACCCCAGCAATATTTCTACATTTTTTGAACAATCCTAGGTGTTACCTTCCCTGTGCTGATCCATGAACATCACCTGCTGAATTCTCATCCCAAGAAGCCTGTTTTCCACTCCCAAGGCCTGAGCTCTCTTCACCAACTGTCTTTTGCAGTAAGCAATAGATCAACAGACTTGGAAAGTCTGGATTTCAGACAGAGTTGTAGAGCAGATACAAAAGCACATTTACATCCATTGCTTGACCAAAGCCAAATGAGAACCGTTGTCAGCAAACAGCACTAGGTAACACTTACCTTGCTAACTGAGTGGTTCAGTTGAGTGAGGAGCAAAGGGACGGGGAGACCTTTTATTTAGCTCGACATGGCCCTGACGGAAATGAGATACCCCAAAGCAATTCGTGATTTACCCACTAAGCCTATACTTATTTGTTGAATGTGCCTTCATCTATTTAGTCTTTGCCTCATTATTTTTGACCAACCCTCAATTTTGTATTATTATCAATTTGTTCAGTAAATTTTTTACAATTTTTTAATGTCAAATTAATTCTCGTGTGATGCTTATGAGCTGCTTAAAACGTATGTTTCTGCTCATTTTGCATATGGTAATGCTGCTACACCAAGTGGCTAGGAGGCTAGTTCAGAGCTAGCAAGTGCTAAATTAACATACAAATCATAATTCAGATTGAGGAGCATTGGATTCCAGAGGTACGCAAAGGCCTTTTGGACGTCAGTCGCTCCTTGGTATGTCTTTTTTACATGGAATTCCAGCATGTATGATTCCATGTCCCCGTGCTTTGTTTATGAGTGCAGAAATGGTAAGGCCTCATGCATTTCTTTGGGGTCTCTGGTCATCAGAAGAGCAAATACGGAACAGAAAGCTCTTGACATCTCCTCTTTTGATCAAGATACGGGAAAATGCATGCCTTGGTCTTACCAATATCAGAAATTTTAGATGAAAGAACTCTGCAAATTCATCATGGAAATGTGAAATAGAGTTTGGATCAAATCAGAGTTTTACAATTCCTTTTGGACATCTTTACATAAAAGCAAAACACAAAAGTTTCTTGGAAGTTTTACATGCTTAGCATATGCTTAGCATGACTTGATCTGCAAAATTCCTACTCCGTTTCTACTCCAAGTTCTAGTATGCCCTCGAGTAATGAAATATCCACCTACGGATGTTATTTTTGGAGTAGCTCTATGCTCAGTTCTCAGTCACCCATTGGCAGTCATTAGTGCTGATGTTAATGATCATGTTGCAATTATTCATTAATGATGTTAATATTTATTTTGTTTGAAAGCCTGAAGGCATCACATGATGCACTGAGCATCTTTAAGATTTCGAATCTAACTACATCTTTTGAAAAAAATGTCTCCGGTCAGAGGGAATTCACGGGACCCAGGCCCATGACTGACGTCGTTGAGTGCTTTGTTTCTGAGATCACCCTGGGGCAAATGCCTGCTCATGCCACCATGGGTCTGTGCATCTGAAGGACCCTGGACCACCCTCCCTTACAGATCCACTGGAGATATACTGATTTCTGCCAAGACAAAGGTGAGAAAAATCAGGCTTTTTGTGTTTCCTGAAACTTCCCTGAACACAGTGAAATCCAGAATCACAGATGCTGAGATCAGAAGAGGTCATTATTAACCTTCATTTTGACCTCTGGTGGCATGAAGCATGTTTCCACTCAATTTGTGTCAGGTAGCTGCTGATTTTGTTTGGCTAGATCCCAGCTTTTAGAAAGCTACCCAGTTTTGTTTTGAAGAATTCAAAGGACCATGAAGTCACCATTTCTCTAGGCAAGCTCTTCCCAAGGTCAATGTTCTTGTCTGCTAAAATACAGGCTTCATCGCCTATTGAATTTGTCTAGCTTTACGGTAATGACCTGGTTAGGTTTGGTTGTAGCCACACATTATCATCTAATTGGTGATACAATCAAATAATGACAGGACAAGGGGGAATGTTTTTAAACTAAAAGAAGGGGGATTTAGATTAGGGATTAGGAGGAAAGTATTCACTTGGAGGGTGATGAGGCACTGGCCGCACAGAGGTTGTGGATGCCCCATCCCTGGAGGTGTTCAAGACCAGGTTAGATGAGGCCCTAGGTGATCTGATCTAGTGGGTGGCATCCCTGCCCATGGCAGGGGGTAGGAACTGGATGATCTTTGAGGTCCCTTCCAACCCAAGCCATTCTATAATTGAATTCTACGATACAAATTGACAACAGCTGTGTCTGTGCATCTCAGCTGACAATCAGGAGGCTGATGGCAACCAGAGGGGATAGACAGGAGGAAATTGCTGAGAAATGAGAGGGGACCCCAATGTTAGAAATGTGTAAGACTAAGCAGTGAGATAAAAGATGTTGGTTGAAGTGAGGCAGCTTTCTACATGTCTATGTATGGATCCAGTGCAAGGCTTTATCCATTGACCTGCTAGAATGTAAAATGCACTGTTGCTTTTAGAGCTGGATGTGCACATCAGAGATGGATAAAGCCATGTGAGACAGCCAGATTGGCTGCCTGGTGACCTGTAACCAATTTTACAAGAGGAGTTTTACAAAAAAAAATTGCGATTAGATTAAAAAAATTAAGAAGAAACCTCGCTTATATTTCAGGCTGAGTAAATGAACACAGAAGCCTCAGAAAGATGCCCAGAGTAAGAAAGTGTTGTTTATTTTGTTTAGAGAATTACGAATGTGGTGAAGCAATCCTTGCCATGAACCAGCTAACACAAATTCCTCCTCATTAAACCTTAGGGGTTTGCTAATGGTTTATTCTGCTTGTGCAAATCTGCTATTATGTTATTTGACACAGTGGAGCAGAAATGTTCCTCTAAGCTACCTAAAGCATTAGGTATGGAGAACTTCTTCATTTCTGAGATTTTATGGTCTCTGATTTTTTTACAAGTATTCTAGTGAAGTAAAACTTCCATAAAGGCTTTGATCCATGCTGTTGCAGCTGATGAATCTTCCCAGGGCTGACAAAAGCTTAATTCTTGTTTCCTTATTTCTACAGTTTCTCATCCTGAAGCTAGTGGGAACTTCAAGCTCAAGTGCAGCAGTAAGCATACCCAGCTTGGAGGCTTCATGCCTTTTGTGGGACTAAAGGAAAGGAAATATGCTGTGATTAGTCACAGAATAGAAACTTCAAGGCCTGGGGCAGGAAAGGAAAGTGAACATATGTATATTTAAAGGCAAAACTACTCATGTGCTCTGAAAGCTTTGTTGATCTGATGCCCAATTGGAGAGAGGTGAAAAATGAATAGGGAAAAGAGTTTTTAATGTAGTTCCCAATGGTTGCATGAAAATGAACCATCTTGTAGTGAAGGCAACAACTTAGGCATGTAATTAATTGTCCTCTGTCTCCCATTTGCAACTTTTCCTCTTTAATAGGCTGTTCCTCTATAATGACGAATTTCTCTGTAACTTATAAATAACCAATTCCAATTACTTACGTACCAACTGGTTATTTACTAGGGAATTCTAGTGCCCAGCTCATCCAGCCTATTTCCCATGCCTGCCCTAGGATGGATGAATCATGCTTGGGAAACCTTTGCTCATTTTACACTGTAGAAAATGTTTAATTAGGGGTGTTCCAAGGCAGGTTAATGTCCCTGCAGGATTTGCTTTGTTTTGTTTCCAGATATAGAAGCAGATCCCATCTGGAGTGAAAACATGAATGTGCAGGCAAGGCCCCCAGCTGTAACTCTTAAACCCTCATTGCATATGCTGAGCTCAGTTCAAGTAGTCAGTTTTCACTAAGAATTAATCACGTTTCTTCCAGCCCTCTGCCTGTGGTGCCGCAGGCATTTCCCTCGACTTTTGTGTTTTCTTAGCATTCCTCCTACTTAGGCTGATTTCACCAGTGATTAGAATATGGATGAAAAGCCACAAAGTAAAAGAGATGCCATAAGAAAACAGATTATGATGGAGTGATGACTGTAAACACCCAGAACTGTTGAAATACAACATTTATTTTCTTGCTGAAGATTGAAGGAGCAAAGCATGAAGGAAAATCCCAGCAGAAAACATTGTGATTTACATTGGCTGATAGAACTTAAACAGCTCTAGGATAGTAAAAGCAAGATATTCATCCAAAAATTTGCATGACACTCCAAATGCTTTAAAAGCATTTGATTGCAGAGAAGTGCTACGGATGGTGAGCGATGAAAACTGGAGACAAATTCAATGCCTTGAGCAAGGAGTCATCCAGTGGTTGTGGTGGTAGGCGCGTGCCCAGATCCTGGTGCTAGTACTTGGGGTACGTTGGCGGCAGCTTGCAGATGTTCTTGGTGTACTGGGGGCAGTAGGGCTGCACGGGGGGGCAGTAGCGCTGCACAGGGGGGCAGTAGCGCTGCACAGGGGGGCAATAGGTCTGCATGGGTGGGCAGTAGCGCTGCACGGGGGGGCAGCACGGCGTCCCGCAAGGGAACTGTGGCACAGGTTCCCTCTGGAAGGTGGAATGACAGGAGGGTCCCGAGTCATGGCAGGAGGAGCGGGAGCCATGGCAGGAGGACCCTGAGCTGTGGCAGGAGGTCTCTCGGCTGTGGCAGGATCCACGGGAGCACATCTTTCTGGGGAGTCGGTAAAGCTGTCAGGAGGAAGAGATCATCCTGGTGAGAGGAGAGCCAGGTGCACTTCTCACGTAGCCTCATCCCCGCCTTTCTTTCATTATACCTTTTCCCCATCTCTCCCCTTTGCCCTCTTTCTTTGTCTCCATCTTCCCAGCCCAACGGGAATGCGCCCTTATGCCTGCCTCACCCTTGTGTCTTGCTCTGGCTCTTCTGGCATGGAGCTCGGTCCCTCAAACTGATGCAAGGAGTCCTGCCACCCTGTCCTGAAGACCATTTCCCATCCCAGGGTGCAGGGCCACCGGCAAGGAGCTCCCTTGCCATTGCCTCACTGCCCCCTCTCCTGCCCCAGCCATCCCCATCCTCACACCTGCTTCTCCTGGAGCAGTAGTCGAGTGCAATGAGATGACACAAAGCTTGGTGCCCACACCCAGGAGGACACCATAGCCCCCAGTGCCAGCTTCTCCTCTAGCAGCAGGAGAAGTAAGGCAAAGAGAACAAGTCTTACCTCTGGAGCTGCAGGGAGCAGTGTCTGGATGTGACGGTGAGCGAGTGAGGAGCCCTGGGCTGAGCCGCCTTTTATACAGCTCCCAGAGGTCACATAGGGTATGAGACACCACTGCACAAGGGCGGTGGGGTTCTTCACGCGCTCAGTGTGGCACGTGCTGGCGCTACCCTATTCTTAGTGCTTCCTCACTGACGCACGGTGTTCTCTCCCATCTTTCAATGCCAGAGATTTCCCTAGGAGGACGGGGGAAGCGATCTCTTTCCCGTTTCCTGGAGACTGACACTAAGCTCATCAGTATTTTCTAGGGTTCCGAAGGGCAGCTGGGGTTGCATCAGGGGGAGAAATGTCGTTACTGCTCAGAAATGCTGACTCCTGCAGCAGGCACACCGTTGTGTGCAAGAGACAGCTCAGGATGTTAATTGAGGTGTTGTTTTATGGCAAGAGGAAATGGGATTAGCAGGGCCTGGCTTGGTGCTGGGCAGTCTGCTGGGATTTCCTTGGCCCTGTGTTATGGCTAAAAGGAAACTCTTTGTGATTCTCCACCTGCCCCTGAACTTGCCAGAGGATCGGGCACCTCTTCTTTCTCCTCCTCTGTCAAAGGTTTGTTAATGCTGAAGTTCAGAGAACTTCTGCAGGGTCTGTGGCCATTCAGGTTTCCTTTCCTTGATATTTTTTTTTTTTATTCTGCATCTGTTCCTTATGGTTTTATCAGCTGAGCTCATGAGCAGGGAAGTTTGGAAGACAAAGATTCTGAGCAAGGGAGGGTTTCAGCTGAACTCTGAGGAATTTTTTACTGTGTCCCCAGGGGCAACACAATGGATATTAAGGCTGGATTTGTAATACCACCTGAGTCAGCCTGTAAAGTGTAAAGCCAGGAAGGTGTCAGCTGATCAGCCTTGGGAAATGCTACTCCATCCGACTAACTGGCTCCATGCTCCCAGAACCTCTTCTTCCATCTCTCCAGAACATGGATGTCCCACAGCCCAAGGAATACCTTATGCTAGAGGCGATGCAGTGAATCGTACTGGGCTTTGTGCAGCAAGGGAGGATTGCGTGAATTGCTGAGGGACATTTGTTGACTCTGCTGTGGATCCCAAACCCCAGGAGGCTTCATGTGCCCAGGTGGTGACCCTGTTGCTTGCCCTCTGTGTGTGCCTATCCTGTGCTCAGTCATCTCCTGGCTGGCCTCCAGGCTTCAGCCTGCAGCATCCCATTGGCGTTCCCCCTCACTCTCTCCACCTCCTCCGAAGACTTCCCTGAGTGGGATATCCTCGGTGTTCACCCACACACAAATATTTCTGAACATTCACATTCAGGTCCCGCTAAGGGAAATACGACTGTGTGGAGCTGCCATCGATGGCGTGCCTTTCTTTGAGGGGAGTACAAGAGGAAAGGCCAACGTGGAGTGATGAAATGCAGTTTTTGAGTGATGTGGGTGTTGGTACCGGCTCGGTTGCATTCATCAGGGATTGTCTGATGGTTTCTCCATCGTAAGGGATTGCAGGGACTGCATTGGTGCCACAGTAGTGAATCTGGATCTTACGTGAGGTCGACATTCACATGCTAGGCCATTTTTCCACCCCAAAGCATACATCAATGAGCAGCCGCGATGGCAGAGGGAGGAGAAGTGCATGGCATCTCTTCTTTTCTGAGGCATTAAGCTAGTTGAAGGCAGAGATGTGGGAAAGCTGTGGGTCTGAGTTTGCAGTAGCTGGCTGCATGGACTGCCTACGGGATGGACAACAGCTCTGCTTGTTCCCCAAAGCCAGAGTTTGCCCGTAGTGGTGTTTGCTGTTGGTTTTTTTTTTTTTATTTTTTTTTCAGAGCCTGGGAGAAGGAAAGTGTGTGGGGCAGCTGATGATCTGTGTCAGGAGAGGGAGCTTTGTGCTGCTCATCCCCTGAGATGCACATGGAGATCTGTGAGGCGAGAACTTTTTGCTCTGATAATGTGTCTGATATACCCATTCTGTCCCCTTTTGTCCCCTTATGTCCCCAGGAATTGTAGCTGCTGGACAGGGACAATGGTTCCCATGTCAAGGAGGAGAACCTTGGAGAGAAAAATCCAGAAGACCTCTAAGGCCCTGGAAAGTGAGCAAAGAAATTCAAAGAGAATGTGGTTTTCATGAATTGTAAGCTTTATTGTTTTCCCCATGCAGAGGAGGCAAACCAAAAGGAACAGGCAGCTTCAAGGTTTCCTGGTGGTAACTGTGTCCGGCACACCTGGAAGGGCCATCTCCTGCATCGTTGCAAAGAAGGACTGCTTGCAGGATGCTTCGGGGCAGAGTTCAAGCGGGGTAGCGGTGAAGCACGGGGCTGAATCCCCGGGACAGCCATAAGGATGGGCTCTGCGTGGCCAGAGTGTGGAGGAGAAAGCATCTGGCGTTGGGTGAGCAGATCCTGGTGCTAGTACTTGGGGTATGTTGGCGGCAGCTTGCAGATGTTCTTGGTGTACTGGGGGCAGTAGGGCTGCACGGGGGGGCAGTAGCGCTGCACAGGGGGACAGTAGGTCTGCACGGGGGGGCAGTAGCGCTGCACGGGGGGGCAGCACGGCGTCACACAGGGGAACTGGGGCACAGGTTCCCTCTGGAAGGTGGAATGACAGGAGGGTCCCGAGTCATGGCAGGAGGAGCGGGAGCCATGGCAGGAGGACCCTGAGCTGTGGCAGGAGGTCTCTCGGCTGTGGCAGGATCCACGGGAGCACATCTTTCCGGGGAGTCGGTAAAGCTGTCAGGAGGAAGAGATCATCCTGGTGAGAGGAGAGCCAGGCGCACTTCTCACGTAGCCTCATCCCCGCCTTTCTTTCATTATACCTTTTCCCCATCTCTCCCCTTTGCCCTCTTTCTTTGCCCCCATCTTCCCAGTCCAACCCGAATGCACCCTTATCCCTGCCTCACCCTTGTGTCTTGCTCTGGCTCTTCTGGCATGGAGCATGGACCCTCAAACTGATGCAAGGAGTCCTGCCACCCTGTCCTGAAGACCATTTCCCATCCCAGGGTGCAGGGCCACCGGCAAGGAGCTCCCTTGCCTTTGCCTCACTGCCCCCTCTCCTGCCCCAGCCATCCCCATCCTCACACCTGCTTCTCCTGGAGCAGTAGTCGAGTGCAATGAGATGACACAAAGCTTTGTGCCCACACCCAGGAGGACACCATGGCCCCCAGTGCCAGCTTCTCCTCTAGCAGCAGGAGGAGTAAGGCAAAGAGGAGAACATGTCTTACCTCTGGAGCTGCAGGGAGCAGTGTCTGGATGTGACGGTGAGCGAGTGAGGAGCCCTGGGCTGAGCCGCCTTTTATACAGCTCCCAGAGGTCACATAGGGTATGAGACACCACTGCACAAGGGCGGTGGGGTTCTTCACGCGCTCAGTGTGGCACGTGCTGGCGCTACCCTATTCTTAGTGCTTCCTCACTGACGCACGGTGTTCTCTCCCATCTTTCAATGCCAGAGATTTCCCTAGGAGGACGGGGGAAGCGATCTCTTTCCCGTTTCCTGGAGACTGACACTAAGCTCATCGGTATTCTGTAGGGTGCCGAAGGGCAGCTGGGGTTGCATCAGGGGGAGAAATGTCGTTATTGCTTAGAAACGCTGACTCCTGCAGCAGGCACACCGTTGTGTGCAAGAGACAGCTCAGGACGTTAATTGAGGTGTTGTTTTACGGCAAGAGGAAATGGGATTAGCAGGGCCTGGTTTGATGCTGGGCATTCTGCTGGGATTTCCTTGGCCCTGTACTATGGCTAAAAGTAAACTCTATGTGATTCTCCACCTGTCCCTGAACTTGCCAGAGGATTGGGCACCTCTTCTTTCTCCTCCTCTGTCAAAGGTTTGTTAATGCTGAAGTTCAGAGAATTTCTGCAGGGTCTCTGGCTGTTCAGGTTTCCTTTCCTTGATTTTTTTTTTCTTTTTTTTTAATTCTGCATCTGTTCCTTATGGTTTTATCAGCTGAGCAAATGAGTAGGGAAGTGTGGAAGGCAAAGATTCTGAGCAAGGGAGGGTTTCAGCTGAACTCTGAGGAATTTTTCACTGTGTCCCCAGGGGCAACACAACGGATATTAAGGCTGGATTTGTAATACCACCTGAGTCAGCCTGTAAAGTGTAAAGCCAGGAAGGTGTCAGCTCATCAGCCTTGGGAAATGCTACTCCATCCGACTATCTGGCTCCATGCTCCCAGAACCTCTTCTTCCATCTCTCCAGAACATGGATGTCCCGCAGCCCAAGGAATACCTTATGCTAGAGGCGATGCAGTGAATCGTTCTGAGCTTTGTGCAGCAAGGGAGGATTGCGTGAATTGCTGAGGGACGTTTGTTGACTCTGCTGTGGATCCCAAACCCCAGGAGGCTGCAAGTGCCCAGGTGGTGACCCTGTTGCTTGCCCTCTGTGTGTGCCTATCATGTGCTCAGTCATCTCCTGTCTGGCCTCCAGGCTTCAGCCTGCAGCATCCCATTGGCATTCCCCCTCACTCTCTCCACCTCCTCCAAGGACTTCCCTGAGTGGGTCATCCTTCGCTTACCCCTGCTCCCTGATGTTTCTGAGCTCTCACATTCAGGTCCCGCTAAGGGAAATATGACTGTGTGGAGCTGCCATCGATGGCGTGCCTTTCTTTGAGGGGAGTACAAGAGGAAAGGCCAACGTGGAGTGATGAAATGCAGTTTTTGAGTGATGTGGGTGTTGGTACCGGCTCGGTTGCATTCATCAGGGATTGTCTGATGGTTTCTCCATCGAAAGGGATTGCAGGGACTGCATTGGTGCCACAGTAGTGAATCTGGATCTTACATGAGGTTGACATTCACATGCTAGGCCATTTTTCCACACCAAAGCATACATCAATGAGCAGCCGTGATGGCACAGGGAGGAGAAGTGCATGGCATCTCTTCTTTTCTGAGGCATTAAGCTAGTTGAAGGCAGAGATGTGGGAAAGCTGTGGGTCTGAGTTTGCAGTAGCTGGCTGCATGGACTGCCTATGGGACGGACAGCTGTGAACTCAGAATCACAGAATCACAGAATTTCTAGTTTGGAAGAGACCTCAAGATCATTGAGTCCAACCTCTGACCTAACACTAACAGTCCCCACTAAACCATATCCTTAAGCTCTACATTTAAACGTCTTTTAAAGTCTTTCAGGGATGGTGACTCCACCACTTCCCTGGGCAGCCTGTTCCAATGTCTAACAACCCTTTCGGTAAAGAAGTTCTTCCTAAGATCCAACTCCTTTCTGCCCTTTCAGGGAACAGCTCTGCTTGTGCCCCAAAGCCAGAGTTTGCCCGTAATGGTGTTTGCTGTTTTTTTTTTTTTTTTTTTTTTTTCAGAGCCTGGGAAAAGGAATGTGTGTGGTGCAGCTGATGATCTGTGTCAGGAGAGGGAGCTTTGTGCTGCTCATCCCCTGAGATGCACATGGAGATCTGTGAGGCGAGAGCTTTTTGCTCTGATAATGTGTGTGATATACCCATTATGTTCCCTTTTGTCCCCTTATGTCCCCAGGAATTGTAGCTGCTGGACAGGGACAATGGTGCCCATGTCAAGGAGGAGAACCTTGGAGAGAAAAAACCAGAAGACCTCTAAGGCCCTGGAAAGTGAGCAAAGAAATGCAAAGAGAATGTGGGTTTCATGAATTGTAAGCTTTATTGTTTTCCCCATGCAGAGGAGTCAAACAAAAAGGAACAGGCAGCTTCAAGGTTTCCTGGTGGTAACTGTGTCCGGCACACCTGGAAGGGCCATCTCCTTCATCATTGCAAAGAAGAACTGCTTGCAGGATGCTTCCGAGCAGAGTTCAAGCGGGGTAGCAGTGAAGCACGGGGCTGAATCCCCGGGACAGCCATAAGGATGGGCTCTGCGTGGCCAGAGTGTGGAGGAGAAAGCATCTGGCGTTGGGTGAGCAGATCCTGGTGCTAGTACTTGGGGTATGTTGGTGGCAGCTTGCAGATGTTCTTGGTGTACTGGGGGCAGTAGGGCTGCACGGGGGGGCAGTAGGGCTGCACAGGGGGACAGTAGGTCTGCACGGGGGGGCAGTAGCGCTGCACGGGGGGGCAGCACGGCGTCACACAGGGGAACTGGGGCACAGGTTCCCTCTGGTAGGTGGAATGACAGGAGGGTCCCGAGTCATGGCAGGAGGAGCGGGAGCCGTGGCAGGAGGACCCTGAGCTATGGCAGGAGGTCTCTCGGCTGTGGCAGGATCCACGGGAGCACATCTTTCCGGGGAGTCGGTAAAGCTGTCAGGAGGAAGAGATCATCCTGGTGAGAGCAGAGCCAGGCGCACTTCTCACGTAGCCTCATCCCCTCTTTTATTATATCTTTTCCCCAGTTCTCTACTTTGACCTCTTTCTTTGTCTCCATCTTCCCAACCGAAAGGGAATGCACCCTTACCCCTGCCTCACCCTTGTGTCTTGCTCTGTCCCTTCCTGCATGCAGCTTAGTCCCCCAAGATGATGCAAGTAGTCCTGCCACCCTGTCCTGAAGACTATTTCCTATCCCAGGATCCAGGGCCACCTGCAGGGCGCTTGTTCTGCCAGAGCATCCCTTGCCATTACCTCAATGCCCTTTCCCCTGCCACAGCCATCATCTTCCCTACGCCTGGTTCACCTGGAGCAACAGTTGGGTGCAAGGAGATGACATCAATCTATGCACCCACACCCAGGAGGACACCACGGCCCCCCATGCCAGCTTGTACTTTAGCAGCGGCAGCAGGAGGAGAAAGAGGATGAGGAGAACAAGTCTTACCTCTGGAGCTGCAGGGAGCAGTGTCTGGATGTGACGGTGAGCGAGTGAGGAGTCCTGGGCTGAGCCGCCTTTTATACAGCTCCCAGAGGTCACATAGGGTATGAGACACCACTGCACAAGGGCGGTGGGGTTCTTCACGCGCTCAGTGTGGCACGTGCTGGCGCTACCCTATTTTTAGTGCTTCCTCACTGACGCACGGTGTTCTCTCCCATCTTTCAATGCCAGAGATTTCCCTAGGAGGACGGGGGAAGCGATCTCTTTCCCGTTTCCTGGAGACTGACACTAAGCTCATCAGTATTCCCTGGGTTGCTGATTGGTAGCCGGGGTTGCATCAGGGGGAAAAATGTCGTTATTGCTCAGAAACGCTGACTCCTGCAGCAGGCACACCATTGTGTGCAAGAGACAGCTCAGGACGTTAATTGAGGTGTTTTTTTACGGCGGGAGGAAATAGGATTAGCAGGGCCTGGTTTGATGCTGGGCAGTCTGCTGGGATTTCCTTGGCCCTGTATTATGGCTAAAAGGAAACTCCTTGTGATTCTCCACCTGCCCCTGAACTTGCCAGAGGAATGGGCCTCTCACCTTTCTCCCCACCTGTGTCAAAGTTTCCTTGTTGCTGAAGTTCAGAGAACAAATCCGTGGTCTGTGGCCATGCAGGTTTCTTTTTGTAATAAATGTCTCAGTCTTCAAAATAGGACTATAATCAAAGTTTACAATTTATGAAAGGAATATAGGTAAGCAAACAGCGCTGGGTGCACTGGGAGTCTCTGCTCCACCAAGACGCACATCAGTTACATCAAGCAGCTGATTTTTATGCTCCTAGGCTGATACATATTCATTACTACTTCTAAAAAAATGGGTTATTAAAATTAGTTTCCGGAATCCAAACTCTCCTACTGGAGCATGCGTATCAGTCTCTGGTGGTCCCTCTGGGGGTCTCTCGTGCTGAAGGCTCATTGTCTTCCTCCCTCTTGCCCTTCTTCTTTGTCCAACTTGGCTGTATGTCAGAGACTTGTGCAACATGCCCTGCAAGCTTTGTCTTTTAGTTGTTTTTCAGCTCTCCCTGTCTCCTTAATCTCCTGGCCAGATAGCAGAGACTTGCATAGTGTCCCATGAAATAGTCATAATAGTTAGCAGTTATTCTGAACCACCCCCTCCCCCCCCCAGATATCAAAGACTTCAAGGAAAAGTCTACAAATACATTTCCCTTCAAGCTCTCGATTGACACAAATTGCTAAAACATTCCTTTGCAAGATACAAGAACTATATACATTAGCCACTCTGTTTTTCTTAGACTTGTGGTTATACAAGGGTACATAAGACAGAAGGTCACATTCATCATACCATGCGGCCCTAGCATTGTTCCATACTGACACGAAACAGATGAACATATCTCATACCTTTCCTTGATTTTTTTTTTTCATTACAGCCATTTCTTACACTTTTATCAGCTGAGCTTATGAGCAGGGAAGTGTGGAAGACAAAGATTCTGAGCAAGGGAGGGTTTCAGCTGAACTCTGAGGAATTTTTCACTGTGTCCCCAGGGGCAACACAATGGATATTAAGGCTGGATTTGTAATACCACCTGAGTCAGCCTGTAAAGTGTAAAGCCAGGAAGGTGTCAGCTCATCAGCCTTGGGAAATGCTACTCCATCCGACTATCTGGCTCCATGCTCCCAGAACCTCTTCTTCCATCTCTCCAGAACATGGATGTCCCACAGCTCAAGGAATACCTTATGCTAGAGGCAATGCAGTGAATCGTTCTGAGCTTTGTGCAGCAAGGGAGGATTGCGTGAATTGCTGAGGGACGTTTGTTGACTCTGCTGTGGATCCCAAACCCCAGGAGTCTGCAAGTGCCCAGGTGGTGACCCTGTTGCTTGCCCTCTGTGTGTGCCCATCCTGTGCTCAGTCATCTCCTGGCTGGCCTCCAGGCTTCAGCCTGCAGCATCCCTTTGGCGTTCCCCCTCGCTCTCTCCATCTCCTCCAAGGACTTCCCTGAGTGGGTCATCCTTCGCTTACCCCTGCTCACTGATGTTTCTGAGCTCTCACATTCAGGTCCCGCTAAGGGAAATATGACTGTGTGGAGCTGCCATCGATGGCGTGCCTTTCTTTGAGGGGAGTACAAGAGGAAAGGCCAATGAGGAGTGATGAAATGCAGTTTTTGAGTGATGTGGGTGTTGGTACCGGCTCAGTTGCATTCATCAGGGATTGTCTGATGGTTTCTCCATCGTAAGGGATTGCAGGGACTGCATTGGTGCCACAGTAGTGAATCTGGATCTTACGTGAGGTCGACATTCACATGCTAGGCCATTTTTCCACCCAAAAGCATACATCACTGAGCAGCCGCGATGGCACAGGGAGGAGAAGTGCATGGCATCTCTTCTTTTCTGAGGCATTAAGCTAGTTGAAGGCAGAGATGTGGGAAAGCTGTGGGTCTGAGTTTGCAGTAGCTGGCTGCATGGACTGCCTATGGGACGGACAGCTGTGAACTCAGAATCACAGAATCACAGAATTTCTAGGTTGGAAGAGACCTCAAGATCATCGAGTCCAACCTCTGACCTAACACTAACAGTCCCCACTAAACCATATCCTTAAGCTCTACATCTAAACGTCTTTTAAAGTCCTTCATGGATGGAGACTCCACCACTTCCTTGGGCAGCCTGTTCCAATGTCTAACAACCCTTTCGGTAAAGAAGTTCTTCCTAAGATCCAACTCCTTTCTGCCCTTTCAGGGAACAGCTCTGCTTGTGCCCCAAAGCCAGAGTTTGCCTGTAGTGGTGTTTGCTGTTGTTTTTTTTTATTTATTTTTTTTTCAGAGCCTGGGAGAAGGAATGTGTGTGGTGCAGCTGATGGTCTGAGTCAGGAGAGGGAGCTTTGTGCTGCTCATCCCCTGAGATGCACATGGAGATCTGTGAGGTGAGAGCTTTTTGCTCTGATAATGTGTCTGATATACCCATTATGTCCCCTTTTGTTCCCTTATGTCCCCAGGAATTGTAGCTGCTGGACAGGGACAATGGTGGCCATGTCAAGGAGGAGAACCTTGGAGAGAAAAATCCAGAAGACCTCTAAGGCCCTGGAAAGTGAGCAAAGGAACAGAAAGAGAATGTGGGTTTCATGAATTGTAAGCTTTATTGTTTTCCCCATGCAGGGGAGGCAAACAAAAAAGAACAGGCACCTTCAAGGTTTCCTGGTGGTAACTGTGTCCGGCACACCTGGAAGGGCCATCTCCTGCATCGTTGCAAAGAAGAACTGCTTGCAGGATGCTTCGGGGCAGAGTTCAAGCGGGGTAGCGGTGAAGCACGGGGCTGAATCCCCGGGACAGCCATAAGGATGGGCTCTGCGTGGCCAGAGTGTGGAGGAGAAAGCATCTGGCGTTGGGTGAGCAGATCCTGGTGCTAGTACTTGGGGTACGTTGGTGGCAGCTTGCAGATGTTCTTGGTGTACTGGGGGCAGTAGGGCTGCACGGGGGGGCAGTAGCGCTGCACAGGGGGACAGTAGGTCTGCACGGGGGGGCAGTAGCGCTGCACGGGGGGGCAGCACGGCGTCACACAGGGGAACTGGGGCACAGGTTCCCTCTGGTAGGTGGAATGACAGGAGGGTCCTGAGTCATGGCAGGAGGAGCGGGAGCTGTGGCAGGAGGACCCTGAGCTATGGCAGGAGGTCTCTCGGCTGTGGCAGGATCCACGGGAGCACATCTTTCCGGGGAGTTGGTAAAGCTGTCAGGAGGAAGAGATCATCCTGGTGAGAGGAGAGCCAGGCGCACTTCTCACGTAGCCTCATCCCCGCCTTTCTTTCATTATACCTTTTCCCCATCTCTCCTCTTTGCCCTGTTTCTTTCCTGTGTCTTCCCAGCCCAACGGGAATGCGCCCTTACCCCTGCCTCACCCTTGTGTCTTGCTCTGTCCCTTCCTGCATGCAGCCTAGTCCCCCAGGCTGATGAAGGCGCCTTCGCAGCCTGTCCTGAAGCTCTTTTCCCATCCCAGGAACCTGGTGCAGCCACAGCGAATTCTTGCTTTCCGATCATCCCTTGCTGTGGCCTCAGTGTCTCTTCACCAGCCCCTGCTGTCTCTGTCCCTGCACCTGATGCTTTCGGTGCCACTCCCAGAGTGTGCCCCCAGCGGTGGCAGACAGCACAATGTTGTGCGCCCACTCCCAGGTAGACACCATGGCCCCCAGTGCCAGGTTCTCCTCTAGCAGAAGCAGCAGGAGGAGAAAGAGGATGAGGAGAACAAGTCTTACCTCTGGAGCTGCAGGGAGCAGTGTCTGGATGTGACGGTGAGCGAGTGAGGAGCCCTGGGCTGAGCCGCCTTTTATACAGCTCCCAGAGGTCACATAGGGTATGAGACACCACTGCACAAGGGCGGTGGGGTTCTTCACGCGCTCAGTGTGGCACGTGCTGGCGCTACCCTATTCTTAGTGCTTCCTCACTGACGCACGGTGTTCTCTCCCATCTTTCAATGCCAGAGATTTCCCTAGGAGGACGGGGGAAGCGATCTCTTTCCCGTTTCCTGGAGACTGACACTAAGCTCATCAGTATTTTCTAGGGTTCCGAAGGGCAGCTGGGGTTGCATCAGGGGGAGAAATGTCGTTACTGCTCAGAAATGCTGACTCCTGCAGCAGGCACACCGTTGTGTGCAAGAGACAGCTCAGGACGTTAATTGAGGTGTTTTTTTATGGCAAGAGGAAATGGGATTAGCAGGGCCTGGCTCGATTCTGGGCAGTCTGCTGGGATTTCCTTGGCCCTGTACTATGGCTAAAAGGAAACACTTTGTGATTCTCCACCTGCCCCTGAACTTGCCAGAGGAATGGGCCTCTCACCTTTTTCCCCACCTTTATCAAAGTTTCCTTGTAGCTGAAGTTCAGAGAACTTCTGCAGGGTCTGTGGCCGTTCAGGTTTCCTTGTTATTTTATTTTTATTTTTTTCATTACAGGCGTTTCGTACACTTTTATCCGCTGAGCTTATGAACAGGGAAGTGTGTAAGTCAAGGATTCTGAGCAAGGGAGGGTTTCAGCTGAACTCTGAGGAATTTTTCACTGTGTCCCCAGGGGCAACACAATGGATATTAAGGCTGGATTTGTAATACCACCTGAGTCAGCCTGTAAAGTGTAAAGCCAGGAAGGTGTCAGCTCATCAGCCTTGGGAAATGCTACTCCATCTGACTAACTGGCTCCATGCTCCCAGAACCTCTTCTTCCATCTCTCCAGAACATGGATGTTCCACAGCCCAAGGAATACCTTATGCTAGAGGCGATGCAGTGAATCAATCGTACTGAGCTTTGTGCAGCAAGGGAGGATTGCGTGAATTGCTGAGGGACGTTTGTTGACTCTGCTGTGGATCCCAAACCCCAGGAGGCTTCATGTGCCCAGGTGGTGACCCTGTTGCTTGCCCTCTGTGTGTGCCTATCATGTGCTCAGTCATCTCCTGGCTGGCCTCCAGGCTTCAGCCTGCAGCATCCCTTTGGCATTCCCCCTTGCTCTCTCCACGTCCTCCAAGGACTTCCCTGAGTGGGTCATCCTTCGCTTACCCCTGCTCACTGATATTTCTGAGCTCTCACATTCAGGTCCCACTAAGGGAAATACGACTGTGTGGAGCTGCCATCGATGGCGTGCCTTTCTTTGAGGGGAGTACAAGAGGAAAGGCCAATGAGGAGTGATGAAATGCAGTTTTTGAGTGATGTGGGTGTTGGTACCGGCTCGGTTGCATTCATCAGGGATTGTCTGATGGTTTCTCCATCGAAAGGGATTGCAGGGACTGCATTGGTGCCACAGTAGTGAATCTGGATCTTATGTGAGGTCGACATTCACATGCTAGGCCATTTTTCCACCCCAAAGCATACATCAATGAGCAGCCGCGATGGCAGAGGGAGGAGAAGTGCATGGCATCTCTTCTTTTCTGAGGCATTAAGCTAGTTGAAGGCAGAGATGTGGGAAAGCTGTGGGTCTGAGTTTGCAGTAGCTGGCTGCATGGACTGCCTACGGGATGGACAACAGCTCTGCTTGTTCCCCAAAGGCAGAGTTTGCCTGTAGTGGTGTTTGCTGTTGCTGTTTGTCTAGAGCCTGGGAGAAGGAATGTGTGTGGGGCAGCTGATGGTCTGAGTCAGGAGAGGGAGCTTTGTGCTGCTCATCCCCTGAGATGCACATGGAGATCTGTGAGGTGAGAGCTTTTTCCTCTACTAATGAGCCTCTTTTATTCCCTGATGTCCCTGGAAATAGATGCTGCCGGACAGGGAAAATGTTGGCCATGTCCAGGAGGAGAACCTTGGAGAGAAAAATCCAGAAGACCTCTAAGGCCCTGGAAAGTGAGCAAAGAAATGCAAAGAGAATGTGGGTTTCATGAATTGTAAGCTTTATTGTTTTCCCCATGCAGAGGAGGCTGAAACAGAAGAGAGCAGCATCAAAGGCTTCCTGGTGGTAACTGTGTCCGGCACACCTGGTAGGGCCATCTCCTTCATCGTTGCAAAGAAGAACTGCTTGCAGGATGCTTCAGGGCAGAGTTCAAGTGGGGTAGCGGTGAAGCACGGGGCTGAATCCCCAGGACAGCCATAAGGATGGGCTCTGCGTGGCCAGAGTGTGGAGGAGAAAGCATCTGGCGTTGGGTGAGCAGATCCTGGTGCTAGTACTTGGGGTACGTTGGCGGCAGCTTGCAGATGTTCTTGGTGTACTGGGGGCAGTAGGGCTGCACGGGGGGGCAGTAACGCTGCACAGGGGGGCAATAGGTCTGCACGGGGGGGCAGTAGCGCTGCACAGGGGGACAGTAGGTCTGCACGGGGGGGCAGTAGCGCTGCACGGGGGGGCAGCACGGCGTCACACAGGGGAACTGGGGCACAGGTTCCCTCTGGAAGGTGGAATGACAGGAGGGTCCTGAGTCATGGCAGGAGGAGCGGGAGCCGTGGCAGGACGACCCTGAGCTATGGCAGGAGGTCTCTCGGCTGTGGCAGGATCCACGGGAGCACATCTTTCTGGGGAGTCGGTAAAGCTGTCAGGAGGAAGAGATCATCCTGGTGAGAGGAGAGCCAGGCGCACTTCTCACGTAGCCTCATCCCCGCCTTTCTTTCATTATACCTTTTCCCCATCTCTCCTCTTTGCCCTGTTTCTTTCCTGTGTCTTCCCAGCCCAACGGGAATGCGCCCTTACCCCTGCCTCACCCTTGTGTCTTGCTCTGTCCCTTCCTGCATGCAGCTTAGTCCCCCAAGCTGATGAAGGTGCCTTCCCAGCGTGTCCTGAAGCTCTTTTCCCATCCCAGGAGCCTGGTGCAGCCACAGCGAATTCTTGCTTTCCGATCATCCCTTGCTGTGGCCTCAGTGTCTCTTCACCAGCCCCTGCTGTCTCTGTCCCTGCACCTGATGCTTTCGGTGCCACTCCCAGAGTGTGCCCCCAGCGGTGGCAGACAGCACAATGTTGTGCGCCCACTCCCAGGTAGACACCATGGCCCCCAGTGCCAGGTTCTCCTCTAGCAGAAGCAGCAGGAGGAGAAAGAGGATGAGGAGAACAAGTCTTACCTCTGGAGCTGCAGGGAGCAGTGTCTGGATGTGACGGTGAGCGAGTGAGGAGCCCTGGGCTGAGCCGCCTTTTATACAGCTCCCAGAGGTCACATAGGGTATGAGACACCACTGCACAAGGGCGGTGGGGTTCTTCACGCGCTCAGTGTGGCACGTGCTGGCACTACCCTATTCTTAGTGCTTCCTCACTGACGCACGGTGTTCTCTCCCATCTTTCAATGCCAGAGATTTCCCTAGGAGGACGGGGGAAGCGATCTCTTTCCCGTTTCCTGGAGACTGACACTAAGCTCATCAGTATTCCCTGGGTTGCTGATTGGTAGCCGGGGTTGCATCAGGGGGAGAAATGTCGTTATTGCTCAGAAACGCTGACTACTGCAGCAGGCACACCATTGTGTGCAAGAGACAGCTCAGGACGTTAATTGAGGTGTTTTTTTATGGCAAGAGGAAATGGGATTAGCAGGGCCTGGCTTGATGCTGGGCATTCTGCTGGGATTTCCTTGGCCCTGTATTATGGCTAAAAGGAAACTCCTTGTGATTTTTCACCTGCCCCTTCACTTACCAGAGGAATGGGCTTATCCCCTCACCTTTCTCCCCACCTGTATCAAAGTTTCCTTGTTGCTGAAGTTCAGAGAACAAATCCGTGGTCTCTGGCCAATCAGGTTTCCTTTCCGTGAGTTTTTTTTTTCATTATAACCATTTCTTACACTTTTATCAGCTAAGCTCATGAGCAGGGAAGTGTGGAAGGCAATGATTCTGAGAAAGGGAGATTTTCAGCTTAACTTTGATAAATTTTTCATCCTGTGCCCGGGGGAAACATGATGGGCATTAAGGCTGGATTTTAGTCCCATTTGAGTCATCCTGTAAAGTGTAAAGCCAGGAAGGTGTCAGCTAATCCCCCTTGGAAAACATGACTCATCCAACTATCTGTCTCTGTGGTCCCAGAACCTCTTTTCCCATCTCTCCAGAACGCGGGTGTTCCACAGCCCAAGGAATACCTTAGGCTAAAGGCAATGAAGTGACTTGTAGTGAACTTTGTGCAGCAAGGAAGGATTGTGTGAATTACTGTGGGACGTTCGTTGACTCTGCTGTGGATCCCAAACCCCAGGAGGCTTCAAGTGCCCGGGTTCTGACCCTGGTGCTTGCCCTCTGCAGGTGTCCATTTTGTGCTCAGTCTTCTCCTGGCTGGCCTCCAGGCTTCAGCCTGCAGCGTCCCATTGGCGTTCCCCGTTGCTCTCTCCGCCTCCATCCAAAGACTTTCCTGCGTGGGGCATCCTCGTTTTACACCCTCTCACTGATGTTTCTGAGCTCTCACATTCAGGTCCTGCTAAGGGAAATATGACTGTGTGGAGCTGCCATCGATGGCGTGCCTTTCTTTGAGGGGAGTACAAGAGGAAAGGACAAAGCAGGCCTTGGTTGCATTCATCAGGGATTGTCTGATGGTTTCTCCATCATAAGGGATTACAGGGACTGCATTGGTGCTATACTAGAGCATCTGGATCTTACATGAGATCGACATTCACATGCTAGGCCACTCCAAAGCATATGCCAGTGACCAGTAGCAGTGGCATAGTGGAGAGAAGTGTATGGCTTCTCTTTTTTTCTGAGGCATTAATATAGATGAAGTCAGTGATGTGGCAAATCTCTGCGGCTGAAGTTGGAGTAGCTTGGTGCATGGACTGCCTAAGGGACAGACAGCTGTGAACTCCTTCCTGCCCCTCCAGGGAATGGCTCTGCTTGTGCCTCAAAGTCAGAGTTTGCCTGTAGTGGTGTTTGCTGTTTCTGTCTAGAGCCTGGGAGAAGGAATGTGTGTGGGGCAGCTGATGGGGCAGTCTGAGTCAGGAGAGGGAGCTTTGTGGTGCTCAGCCACGGAGATGTACATGGATTTATTTTTTAAGCTGAGAGCTTTTTCCTCTACTAATGAGCCTCTTTAGTTCCCTGATATGCCTGGGAATAGTTGCTGCTGGACAGGGAGAATGGTGCCCATGTCAAGGAGAAGAACATTGGAGAGAAAAATCCAGAAGACCTCTAAGGCCCTGGAAAGTGAGCAAAGAAATGCAAAGAGAATGTGGGTTTCATGAATTGTAAGTTTTATTGTTTTCCCCATGCAGAGGAGAATGAAAATGCAGTGCGCGGCATGAAAGGTTTCCCATTGGTAACTGTGCCTGGCACACCTGGAAGGGCCGTCTCCTGCATTGTTGGATAGAAGGACTGCTTGCGGGATGCTTCAGGGTAGAGTTCATGTGGGGTAGCAGTGAGGCACGGGGCAGAGTCCCCAGGACAGCCGTAAGGATGGGCTCTGCGTGGCCTAGGGCGTGAAGGATGAGGCAGCTGGTATTGGAGTAGCTCGCTGCATGGACTGCCTAAGGGACGGACAGCTTTGAACTCCCTCCTGCCCTTTTAGGGAACAGCTCTGCTTGTGCCCCAAAGCCAGAGTTTGCCTGTAGTGGTGTTTGCTGTAGTTTTTTTTCCAGAGCATGGGACAAAGAAGGTGCGTAGGGCAGCTGATGATCTGTGTCAAGAGAGGGACCTTTGTGCTGCTCATCCCCTGAGATGCACATGGAGATCTGTGAGCTGAGAGCTTTTTCCTCTACTAATGAGCCTCTTTTATTCCCTGATGTCCCTGGGAATAGTTGCTGCTAGATAGGGAAAATGGTGGCCATGTCAAGGAGGAAAATCTTGGAGAGAAAAATCCAGAAGACCTCCAAGGCCCTCGAAAGTGAGCAAAGAAATGCAAAGAGAATGTGGGTTTCATGAATTGTAAGCTTTATTGTTTTCCCCATGCAGAGGATCCTGATATAGCAGCATGCATCATCAAAGGGTTCCTGCTGGTAGTTGTGTCCGACACACCTGGAAGGGCCATCTCCTGCATTGTTGCCAAGAAGGACTGCTTGCGGGATTCTTCATGGCAGAGTTCAAGTGGGTTAGTGGTGAGGCAAGGGACAGAAGCCCTAGGACAGACATAAGGATGGGTTCCTGGTGGCCAGGGTGTGCAGGAGGAGGCAGCTGGCGTTGGGTGAGCAGATCCTGGTGCTAGTACTTGGGGTATGTTGGCGGCAGCTTGCAGATGTTCTTGGTGTACTGGGGGCAGTAGGGCTGCACAGGAGGGCAATAGGTCTGCACGGGGGGGCAGTAGCGCTGCACGGGGGGGCAGCACGGCGTCACACAGGGGAACTGTGGCACAGGTTCCCTCTGGAAGGTGGAATGGCAAGAGGGTCCTGAGTCATGGCAGGAGGAGCGGGAGCTGTGGCAAGAGGTCTCTCGGCTGTGGCAGGATCCACGGGAGCACATCTTTCTGGGGAGTCGGCAAAGCTGTGGGGAAGAAAGAGAGAGAAAGATACTGTCACACTTGTACAGCAACACCACTCCAAGCTCCTGCACTCTATTTAGGGTTTCCTCTATTGCTCTCTTGATTTTTTTTTCCTGTCCTTTGTCATATGTGTGAAATGGTGATTCTGAAATTGATAACGCCATGTCTTTTAGGGTATAATCTATGGTGGTCCAGTTCTGGTGGAAATTTTAGAAATCAGCAAAGTAATTCTGATGGCATTTGAAGGTTGATGTTTACATCTGATTCTCGCAGTGATTCAGCTGAAATTTCTCTCCCTCTGTCTCTATGTAGTTTGGGAATTAGTTCCTTGCTAGATCCCAAAGGCTCCCAGTCACAAACTAAGAACAAGAAACATCTAAGAGAAAGTCAAGGTCTCAACATAGAACCATGAACCAAATGTCCTGTGTGGTATCCTAATGTCATATAACAGACAATTCAGTGTAGTCCAACTTACCCTTTGTCGGAGCAGGGAAGAGCACTGAGAAGCGAAGCTGAATGAAGAAGGAGCAGGAGATGGCTACTTTTATATACTTGCAGTAGGCTTGCCCAAGAAATTATGCATCTCTTGGCAATGCTGACAATTAATCATGTAGTCACGTTCATATTTATCTTCTGCGTGTAATTTTTAGCACTTCCGATTTGACAGTCGGGAAAAACAATTAGAAGTTTTCCCTTGAGATGTTAATTGGCAATGGATTTCCTAATCTGCTTTATAAGGGGATTTTGAAGGTAATTTCGTAGTTGCATATTAGAAAGAACCTAACCCTAAAGTTATTGAGTGATTTGTCATTGGGCAACCAGTATTGCATCAACGTGCAATTCAAAAGTGTTGACTCCTGCTCCGCATGCTGCCCCTTTGTCCATGTGGCAGACTCACATTTTTGTTGATATGTTTTTCATGACACAAGGGACAGTAATTAACATCCACAACTCACATGGACCATACTTAGGGGGAAGTCCTGGTGACTAGCTCAAATGCACCTAACGCCTCAACACTGGAAATGACGTTACAAGGATGTTTCCAATTCCAATTTTTTCATTCTGTTTGTGAGTTCACAAACCATTGGCTGTTTTTCCTTGTGCCATGATACCATCCTGTTTGCTTTCCTCCTAGAAGAAGAGGATTTCAAATATTGACCAGAAAGTGCTGGGAAATTCTCACCTACTAGCCCCCTGTTTTCAGATCCCTAATTGCTTCAGGCTTCTGCCTTACTTAAGCAGTTTTGTAGTTTTAACTCATTGCAGTGCTTCACCTTTTACTATTGGGATTCTCTTACAGCTGCCTAGGACTTGACTTTACAATGATGAAATGGGTATTTGTTATTTTCTTGTGATTTTTATCCAGGTGGGAGCTGCCGGAACCCTCAGGAGCACCCTGTGGATCAGTGCTGTTGCAAGTAGAACAAGAGGGTCTGAAAAGTTGCTTACTGAGTTCATGAATTGGCAGCTATCCCTGTAGAGATGCCTTTTGAAGTGTATTTTCATGTCAAATGAAAAAAGAAATAAAAAAAATCTTGCTACTTTGTCAGTGTTGTTGAGATGCTAACTCATTCTGAACCTGAAAACACATCCCGGGACAGCATACCTCCATGTTCTGGTTGGATTTATCTTTTTTTTTTTTTAATTATTATATATATTGTTTATTTTTAATTATTTTTTATTTTTCAAGCCACGATTCAGCAAAAAAATAAGCTTGCCTTTGTTTAAGAAAATCTCATCTGGAGCCTTCTGCACAGCACTGTGAGTTCTAAGGAATGTAGGAATGGTTCAACAAGGTTGATAAAGCAGTATACTTTGGGAAGACCCTTGTGTTGGTTCTCTGTCTTGCAGGGTGCATTAATTTCACCCCAGTGTAGCTACTAGAAGTTAGTCATTTAGGCTGAAGCTAATTGTGGAGCTCTTTGTGAAACTGATGGAGAGGAACTGGCAGAAGGAAGCGAGCGATCCTGTTCTAGAATAGATGTCTCAGCTAGATGGGCTGGTGACTGGGGAGATAAGAATTGTCTTAGGTTGTAAAAAGTAGGCAGAGATTTCACATTTATTTTAAAGTGTGTGCAATATTTGCTGAAAACAGTAATTTGAAGTTCAGTGAAAGAGGAGGGTTAGAGAAGTCCTCTAGGTGCCTATTTGCATTTATTAGACACCTCAAAACCTTTGCAATTCTGAGTCAGAGTAACAAACACAGTATGTGGCACTGCTGAACTAGGGAAGTGAGAATGACAGTCCCAGGCTAACCAGGGTACAGACAAGCTCCCTGTATGCTGTACATAAATGCGTTTGTCTGCTGCAGAAGTGTGTCTGGAATGACTGGCTTTCATTCATTTTGAAACTTTGGGATGTGGGCTTTTTGTGGTGATTGAGAAGAGAAGAACAAGGAGCTGTGACTACGAAGACAGAGGTAAAGATAATTCTCATGTAAAAATGTAGTGAGTAAAAAAGCATAAACATTTTCTATATTTGGAAATGAAATTTTATTGTCTTATCTTCACCTTTGGAGGATGACACAGAAATATCATATCTAAGCCACTACTAGAATAAATCATTCCCAGCCTTTTAGAGAAGAACAAAGACTGGGTCTTGCGTGCTAAATACATTGAAACAGATCATATTTATATTTTGAAGAAAATTCGAATCACAAAAGAGGTATTTAAGGATTCACATAAACCAAAAATGGGAATGGAGAGATGGTGACTTGAGCTTTAGGCATCGAGAGAATCCGTGGGAGGAGGCAGCTGGTGTTGGCGAGGCCATGTCTGGATCCTACTACTAGTACTTGGGGTACGTTGGTGGCAGCTTGCAGATGTTCTTGGTGTACTGGGGGCAGTAGGGCTGCACAGGGGGGCAGTAGCGCTGCACAGGGGGGCAGTAGGTCTGCACGGGGGGGCAGTAGCGCTGCACAGGGGGGCAGCATGGCGTCACACAGGGGAACTGTGGCACAGGTTCCCTCTGGAAGGTATAGTGGCAGGAGGACCCAGAGTCATGGCAGGAGGAGCGGGAGCCGTGGCAGGAGGTCTCGCGGCTGTGGCAGGATCCACGGGAGCACATCTTTCTGGGGAGTCGGCAAAGCTGTGGGGAAAAAAGAGAGGGAGAGAGAGAGAGAGAGAGACCGTGATACTGATACAGAAGTCACCAATGTGCAGGTTCCTACCTGCTTGCCTTAATTTGCTCAGGAGCTTCCAATTTTCTTCCTTATTTCTTCTTCATGGTTAAGAAGATTATTTCAATGCTGCTTAGGTATTGGGAAAGGATTTACATCCCCCACTAAAAAAATGTTCTTTTACAGGTGCCATTTTATCCTCAGACAAAAAATTACTCAAACTATCACTTGCCCATAAGCTGTCCCAGAGCCTCCAGTGCCTTTTCTTTGAAAACTTCAGCAATATCCTTTCCATAAAGCTCTCTGACTCTCCTCTTCTCTTCGTATTTTCCAATCTTTCTGTTGTTTTGTTTTGTTTTGTTTTGTGCCTCTTCCTGTGAAGTCTACATCCCACTTAGCATTTATGTTCATTCATAGGTAACAAGAACTTGGTCACTGGCATATCCAAGGCCCAGGGGGAAGAAATAGGTATCATACTCCAACTCTACCAGAGCTTCTATGAAAGGAGATGGTATTGTAGAGAAACTCAGGAGAAACAGTAAAATTAAACTCACCCCTTCAGCAACAGAAATGAAGGTGTATGGGAGCAGAGAAGCGAATGAAGGAAACCAGGATGAGAGAGCTTTTATACTGTTCCAGAGGGTTATCTGGGACATGAGACATCTCTTGGCAAGTGTAACCTAATTACATATCCCAGCCCATTTTTATCCACTGTATTCAGCTTCCGACATTTTCCCTTTGATGCACTGTGCTTTTAGCATTTTAATTGTCCCATAGGTTATTAATAGTGTTTTAATTCCTTCACCTCCCTATGAAAGAGATTGGAAGGTATTTTGCGTGAAGTGACGCCAGTACTGAAGATACTAATAGATCTGGTCATGGACAGCAAGTATCAAGCGGAAGAGGTGTTTGTAATTCAGAAACACTAATTCTTCAAGCTATGCCGGGATGTCACATGGACTGAGAGCTAAACGTCATCACACCTGTGTGTGAAGAAAACTGATTACTAATGGGAACTCATGGGGACTATGTTTAGGGCAGGAATATTCTAACTGAATTGCTCAATGGAACCGGAAACTTTAATGAGAGATTCAGAATTAGCCCTCGTAAGTCCCTCATGGATAATTCCAACCTGTCTATATGGTATGTCCTATCAAAGATTCCTTTTCCTCTTGTAGATGCTGCCTTAGCCTAATTCTGCAATACTGTGCGAATGGAAGTGGTATGGAGTGCCTGGGGCACAATGTGTTGGGGTGCACCCACCACTCTTAAGTCCTGCTCATGCTCCCAGAGGTGTAGTTACTCTCTGTTCCTGTTTTCCTTTGTCCTTTAATTTATTCCTATTTTCCTCCTAACATTTTAAATGAAATGTGTCTTTAGCTTACTTTTGGGAAATTTTTACCAGTTGAGGTTGTAAGCAGGTGAGCCATGTGCCTGCCTCCAGCATAAGGTGGAAGTTCTTAAACTTCACAATGATCATAGAATCATACAATAACAGAATCATAGAATGGCTTGGGTTGGAAGGGACCTTGAAGATCATCTAGTTATGTTGAAGGAATGTTGAAGATGATATATGAACTGTTAGCTGGAGAGCACTCTCCTGGTATTGTTGCCCTGCTTTCAGTTCTGCAGTTCTTGTGGAAATATGCATTGGACAGGGCTGTAGCTCAAGAAAAAACAAACAAACCAGCCAACTGCGGTAGAAGTACATGCTCTTGAGTCTGGAGTTTCATGTGAATCACAGGTGAACTCCAGGTTTCCTTCCCATGTCCCCATACAGGTCATGCCCATTTCACCCAGCAATTACATTTTCTTCTCACATAAAAGGCAAGAATGTGTCAGCACAGGGATGGCATTGTGGGATTAGACATCAGGCAC